GGTATCACACAACTGGACAGGGTAAACATAGCTACTCTAAGCATTTACATATCCTCTCCTCTCCCCACACGTGAATACCAAGGCTTTTTACATAGCTCTAACTGTCCAAACTTTAATTCTGATGTCACCTTCTTACTAGCAACTGCTTGTGGTCTTTTCCTTTAATAGCCCAATGCTTATAGAGAATACTCCTCTATGGACTTTGCTTGTTTCCTCCTAACTTCAAGAGGTAGGCACATTAATGATTCACCTCTGAAATGCTTAGCCTAAGAAACCCAGAAAACACTACATAGCATGTTTTTGTTGCTTTATGAACTTATTTCCAAAAAAAAAAAAAAAAAAAAAAAAACCTCACAGAAAACAGTAAGAAATTTTATATATTTGCTTCTGGAAAAAAAATGCTGGAAATGTCAAAGGAAAGCAAGGGGATATAAATTCTGGTTAGCTGGGTTCTCTATCAACTCACTCAACAACAGTAAACCATTGAAGGGCTAAGTCATCACCTAGTAGTCCTGCTCTTCAAATATTTCAGTAGAATATAAGTAATGGTTAAGTATGGAGGTTATTTAAATCAGCACCACTGACTCTGGTTTAACAAACTCAAGAGGCTACATTGTTTGGGGAGGGTTATTTTGGGATATATGAGATAGACAGAGATGGTTTTCCTTAGTTATGATAAAAGCTACATATAAAACTCACAAAGATAAAATATTTTCTTTAAATTTTGCCAAATGTTAGTGAACTAAATATTGTTAACTATTTTAACAAGTTAAAATAAACTTGCTTTGATAACTGTTTTTGTTATATATAATTCTACTATGTTAAAGTTAAAACCTTTCCTGCGGGTGGTGGTGACACACGCCTTTAATCCCAGCACTCGAGAGGCAGTGGCAAGCAGAGGCAGGCGAATGTCTTGAGTTCGAGGCCAGCCTGGTCTTCAAAGAGAGTTCCAGGACAGTCTCCAAACCTACAGTGAAACCCTGTCGAGGGAGGGGGGAGAAATACGGTTAAAACCTTCCTTTTTATTTAGTCAGAAAAGAGGAAATGTCCTTCCATGCGCTGTTAATGTTTCTTATTGGCTGATGAAAAGTTATTTCAGCCCATGGATAGTCAGGATGTCCCCAGGCAGGAAGTATTGGTGGATCTAGCAGACTAGGAGAATTCTGGGAAGAGGAAGGCAGAGAATGGGTCTGAGAGAGACGCCATGTAGCTGCCAAGAACAAAGAGGCCCAGGCATCACAACTAAGCCAAGACCACATGCAGACACACATATTAATAGAAATGGGTTAATAATTTAGAGAGAGCTAGCCAATAAGAAGCGTGAATCATAGGCCAAACAGTTTATATCTACAGATAGATGATAAATTTTACACATAAACATAAAAACTAACAAATGGATCTCTGTGAGTTCAAGACCAGCCTGATCTACATAAGTTAGAGGACAACCAATTTATATAGAGACCCTGTCTCAAGAATAAACAAGAAAATAAAAATAAGAAATGTCGGGGCTGGAGAGATGGCTCAGAGGTTAAGAGCACTAGCTGTTCTTCCAGAGGTCATGAGTTCAATTCCAGCAACCACATGGTGGCTCACAACCATCTGTTATGAGATCTGGTGCCCTCTTCTGGTGTGCAGATATACATGGAAGCAGAATGTTGTATACATAATAAATAAATAAAATCTTTAAAAATAAATAAATTAATTAAAATAAAATAAAAAATGTCCTTCTTCTAGCTTTGGGTATATAAACGCAAGCACCAATAAAGTCACCCTCATGTTGAACACACAAAAATGAAGCACCACCATTTGGGAAGTAAGTTTGTGATTTTTATTAAGAGCACTCAACTCTTTCAAATCTTTTACTCGGTATTTGAACTTGTAGTAATCTTTAATAAAGAAAAACATTTCAAGCTTTCCATTAGTCATTTGTAATGAGCATTCAAAAAAAAAGCAAATACATAGTAACTGGAAATGTCAAACACAGTATGACATGTACAGAACTAGATAATATAGCCACTAAAAATATTTAAAACATCTGTTAACACGGCAATGCTTGTGACATAATGACAAGGAAAAGTAGGCTGAATATAGTTTCACTTGTTAACAAACAAAAGAAAAACCAAAATATCAGCAGTGGCCATATTTAGGATATGGAATTAGTACTGATTTTTAATTTTTCATCTTTATATTTTTACATATTTTCTATTTTCATAGAGAACATATATTGTATATAACCAAGGAAATATGTGCATAATGACTTCTACACACTCAAACAGAAACAAATTTTATATACTAAAAATCATGAAGCACTGAGTCAGTTTATGATTTTTTTTAAACAAGAAACTAATGGAACCTGGAAAATCCAAACACTAACTTGAAATATTTCTGTTCTAAAATACAACCTGAAATGTGGCTCATGATGATCTCAGAATTTAAGAGGCAGAGGCAGGTGTATATAGCAAGTTCTTGGACGGCCAGGATTACATAGAGAGACCTGTCATAAGGGAGAAGGGAGGGAGAGGAGAGGGAAGGGGAAGGGAAGGGGGAGGGGAGGGGCTGAAGCAGAAGAATAGCTATAAATTCCAAACCAGTCTAGCCAGGGCTACATAGTGCTCAAAACATACAACTGGGGCCAGGCATGGCAGCACAGGCAGGCAGATTTTACCATTGTGAGTTTAAGGTCAGGCTGGAGTACATTAAATCAAAAAAAAAAAAAAAAAAAAAAAAAAAAAAAAAAAACAAAGCATACAATTCTATAGAATTCTAAATTTTATGTAATCTGGCTGAAAAGTTTCTCAATAACCTAAATAAGTGAATAATCACAAAACTATCACAATAAATTATAACTAGGCATAATAGTTAAGTTTTTATGGATATTTTAATTTAACTAAAAATAACTGCTAAATCGAACATTCCTGATATATAATGCAAACCACAGGAAGAAAAATGTTAACTGTTCTGTGTCTTGTAGTAATAAAACTAACCTTTTGGTAGTTAAATGAGACCCAAGCAACACTGCTTGTCAATTGGTACAGCCCAATCTCCAAGTTCCTTAATTTCGCCACCTTACTATCAGCTTATAGCCTTTTTCTGATGTCTTATACATCAGTCCCAGTTTTATCTTAAGACTCTCCACAAAGTACTCACCCTCTGAGCCTTGTGTACTGTCCCCAATGGCAAGTATCTGGGCCAGTTTGCTGCTCACTCTCCCCTACCTCCCTGCTATCTCTCTCTCCTTTTGGGTTTTTGCACCACCTAGTTTCCCACTCTCTCCACCTTCTGCATTGTGCCTTAGCAGTACCTATTATGTTTATAATTAAATAGTTGCTTATAAAACTTCTTAATGTCCATCTTCTCTATGCATGAAGAAACAATGTCTCTTACTCATTATTGCATCCCTAGTGGCCATCATCATAAAACCTAGTGAAACATACCTCACATGGATGAGTGGGTGGGTGGATGAATGAATGGATGGATATGTACAGGCAGGCATGGAAAAACAAACACACGAGTGAATTACAGATGTTAAATAATGAATTGTTGGGCTCACTGATACATGCCTATAAACCTGGCTACTCAGGAAGCTTAGGCTGTAAGATTCTAAGTTCAAGCCTAACCTGACAACTTAATGAGACTGTCTTAAAAATAAGAGAGAAAAAAATTCCCTGGGGGTGAGGGGGACACACTTCCAAATGTGGGGAGACAGCTGCAGATACAGCTTGTTAACATACATTAAGGCCTGAGTTCAATCCCAGTACCATAGAAAAATAATCATTAATCCCAGAGGTTTACTAGGGAAGCAGGATAGACAGCTCAAGGCCAGCCTAAGATGCACATCAACACCCTCTCCAAAACAGAAGAAAAAAAAAAAAAACAACTGAGAATGTAGTTCATTGGTAGATCACTTTTCATAGACAGGCTGAGGCCAAGGTTTGAGGCCCAATTAGTGAGATCAAAACAAAACAAAACAAAAAAATTAGTAATTTAGATGACCACTTTCACATATATAAATTCTTTCTTGGCATTGTCATCTTAAAAGTTTAGGAATCCTTGTGATCCTAAATTTAAAGCCTCTTCTAACCAATTTGCCCTACTCATTTTTTTCCTTAGAATGTATTCCTTTATAGTAAATACTATGTTCACCAAAAGCAAAAATAGTGACTCAAATTAAACAAGTAAAACACGGGGACACATAGGAGTTTCATTTGTGAATCCCAAGAACAAGAATCCTATCAACAGAAAACTAATTCAACATTTCAAAAATGAAGTTACAGTGGGCTTAGTACCTCTAAATCCCTCATCCTTCCATCTGCTCTCCCTGACTCCCTCTCTGAACACCACCCCTTTCTAGCCTCACTTGCCTCAAGAGTATAATCTGGTCCCAATGATTCACAGATAAGATTCTCTGGCAGCCATATTCTTGATGAAAAAGTCTTGAGCACCAATTATTGCAAAGTGCATGACCTCCCTGTCAAGAGTGTCTATTCCTGTACTCAAGGAGACAGCTGTAGTTAACCAATCCTGGTCAAAGTAACACATTTTGGGACTCAATTTAGCTTCGGCCTCCCTAGATGTTGTCTAGTGAGTGTTAACTAGTGTCATTCACTAAGTGGTTCTTACCAGTCTATAAAGCTCTAAACCTAGTTTTGCCACTCCCCTCACTCCCCAATCTAGCCATCACTTACCTAGAAGATCCCTAACTTTGAGATCATTACTTGAAACTATAGACCCTCCTGGCCTTGAACTTAAAGCCATCCATCTGCTTCTACCTACTCCCAAGTACAGGGATTAAAAGGGCTAACCCATCATGCTCAGCTTAACTTTACAAATAAATGGAAAGCTAAACCGTCCCAGGTCCAAAATGCTGCTCAAAACTTCAAAGCATGAAATAAAATTCCCCTTCTCCTTTATTCTCCAGATCTCTTGCCAAGTGATTGCTCTACTTCCTCCATCAACACATCCTGCATGCACACTGCCAGCTTGGCACTCACACTCCTTTAACACATGTCACCACACCTATCACCAATAAGTCTACATTGCCTAAGAGAAAAGAAATAAAATGTAATTCCAATTCTCTCTGCAAAGCATTTAAGGCCCTTTTCAATACTTCCAATTCTGTCACTTTATTCTTAAATGAACTCTATTCATTCTCATTGTGTTCTCCAAATCTCTAAATTTGTTCATTCTGCCTGTTAACTCTTCCTAGAATACTTTTGGGGTTGTTTATTTTGTTTCTTAAACCAAGTTCTCACTCTATATAGCCTCAACTAAATGATCCTTTTGTCTTAGCCTCTCAGAATGTTTGATTAAGGAGCTATCTAAACTTAATATCAAAACTAATTGAGCATTCTTTGCTGTCCAGGCTTCCTCTGCTCTGTCCCAGCCTAAACTTCTCTGTCCATCACTGATCCCTCTTTAATCCTAGGATAGGTACTACATAGGTACTAACTTGGTGTCGTCATTTTGGCCATGAATGGATCATTTCTGACTTTATTACAAATCTCAAAATGGAATGGAAACAAAAATGTCCTATTTCTACAATGTGGCTTAACTACACAGTGTTGTCAATTTAGGAAATGTCCCTGAAGCACTATGAAGCAACCAAAAGAAACACTCAAGGTTCCTAGTCCCAGGAACAAAGATGCTAGTCCCCTAGCAGCTCAATGTGCAGAGCTCTTCTTCAGCTGTTTTAGCTGCTTTCTGGAGAGCCGCTTGTGACTGCTCTGTAGGACAGAGAGGTCGGACCTTGAGGAAGAGTAGCCCACATTCTCTGCTTTTAAGGGCTTAATGAGATGTCCTAGTTTGGTGCTAACCTTGGGAACTGTCAGCTTTTGGAAGGCCCTCTGGGTGTTCCATGTGTACCCAATAGGGTTCTGGATAGTCCTCTCAAATTGCTGGTGGTGGGTGAATGGGTGTGGAACAGCCTGCACCTGATGAGCTGCTGCGTGGATATTGCGCTTCTCATTGATAATCACATTTGGCAAATTCTTATCTTGTCTTGGAGAACTTTCAGGAGCTTTAACAAGAAAACGGCGTCTTTTCTTGGCACTGGGCTTTAGGCCTCTACCAACCCACTCACCCCATCCAGGCAATGTCAGGTCCAAGTCCTTTGGCTTACTTGCCTCTACAGCTTCCCTTTTCTCTTTTAAGAACTCTCTGATGACATCATCCCCAGCAAAAGCTTCCTTTATTATCTGCTTGTGGTCTGTCTCCACTTCATCTTCCAACTCCTCGACTGTGGGCACTGCCCAAGACTTCACAGGAGATCTAGCAGTAAGGAGATTCTGTAGGTCAATCATTTGTTCCTTCTTTTTCTTCCTTCTAGAGGAATCAGCTATGCTATGTGGATTCCTTTCCTTCCACTCTCCTTTTAACATAGGTCTGGGAAGCCCCCTTTTTTGATAAGGTCCCTCTTTGCCCAGCTCTCCTTGTTCTTCCAGAACATGTGCTCTCTCGAGCCTTTGAAACACCAGGCTCTCCTCTGGGGCAAGCTCCTCTCTCTGGACCTGGAGAACAGTTCCCTCTGAATTCCCCTTTTGCTTCTCAGATTGATGGTTTTCCTTGTGGAGTTTCTGAAACAATACCCTTGGTTCAGATACATCAGGGCCATTAGAGTCTTCTGTTTCTGTTTCTTGGCCACCCACTGGCTTAGCACTGTTGGGCTCAACTCTTTGTTGAAAAGATCTTTCTTTCAACAAAAGTTCTGCCACTGGTCTTTCATCTCCCTCACTTTCAGAAGACCCCCTGGCCACCAGTTCGGGCAGCTGTTCAGGGTCGGTCTTGATTTCACCCCTTTGTGCATCGCTGCTGCAACTCCTGAGCATCCAGGGATTTAGACCAGCTGCATGCATCTGTAGGTCCTTCACCTCATCAGAGGTAGGGATTACTCCTCCTCCTGTGTATTCCTCCTCTTCCTCCTCCTCCTCCTCACTCTCTGGAACTACCTGGAGTTTCTGTGTCAGTTCTCTGTTCTTCGCCAGTTGCTCTTGCATAGCTTTGCGAGCCTCCAGGTCATATCTGGCCATAATTGCCTTTGACTTGGCCCATTTTCCACTGCCCTGGTGCTTAAGGCTCATTCGTTCCCTCACTCTAGCCTCTTCCATTTTTCCCAGTTCTTGCAATGCAGCACTTGGGCAGTCCTTCAACAGCTGCTCAAACTCTTTTAAGGTTTTCTTGGCCTTTCCTTTCTTTATAAATTTGTGATACTTTTTACTTTTGATTTTCTTCTCTCTTCGAGCTCTTGCCTCATAGTAGGACTGCAGAGCTCGTGTCCTCTGAAGCTCTGCTCGGTGTATCTTGGCTTCTTCCAGGCTCATGGCTTTGAGGGAGGCTTTTTCCACAGGAGTCAATAAAGGGTCTGTTACTGGCTGCTTATTCTTATGAAGGACATTAAAAACTTCTTGCTCCAGGGGGGTTCTTGTTTTCCAGCCAGTGAATACATGTTCAAGGGGAGCAACAGCTGGCAGCTCCTTCTCCATGGGAAAAACCAGCTGTTCTGCTTGCCGGTTCTGCAGAACAATGGGCTCCCACTTGGAGAGCATTTGTGACGTTTTGCTGAATGCTGCTTCCCTGAGGATCTGGTCAGTCTCTTTTTTGTCAAGGGGTATCTCGAGAGTCTTGGACTTGACTCTAAGCAGTTGTTTCTTCACAGTAGCCAATGAAGATAATGTTGTAGCAGACTCAAGCAAATCTGATAGAACCAGCTTTTCACCTGACCCTTCAGAAGTGACATTGAACTCTGACACCATCAGACTAGCTTCGGATCTCTCAGCTACTTTCCAACTATTCCTTCCACCAAGGGAATTGACTGCTTCCAGAAGCTTTTGACATTTTCTTTCTCCATCACTGTCCCCCTCATCTTCACTTGTACTCAAAGGGTAGTGGTTTGGCAATTCTACTAGTTCTTCCTGCTGGCTCAAAGCCAAAAGGCCTACCACATTTCTGGTCACGTTCATGGTAGCAGCCTATTTTCTCTCACATTACCTGTAAGCTCTTGAAGAAGCGTCTGGTCTCACTCATCTTGGCTCCATCTATTTATTGCCAACTGTCTTTGACACAGATGTTTTCTGAGAATCTTAGTTATTGAGATGTCTAAAGAAGAAAAGACCCATATAAATTCCCCAATAATTTCCATGTAGTCAACACATAAAATTTACAAGCCACTCAGGATGGTGACACAAAAGGACAGCCTAGGCTATTATTAAGTCTCAGTATCTGTGTCTGTCTGTCTGTCTGTCTGTCTGTCTGTCTCTCTCTCTCATACCAGTACATGTGTATTTACATCTATGTATGTATGTATGTATGTATATTTATATAAAAATATACATATATATATGACACCTAACATTATGGCAGGGGTAACAAATCTCAAGCCAAGGAAAGTGGAAGTTAAACAAAGACCCATGATAGAAAAGAAGGCTTTATGGCAAGAGATCAGATATATTATGGCAGGGGTAACAAAAATCTCAAGCCAAGGAAAGTGGAAGTAAAACAAAGACCCATGATAGAAAAGAAGGCTTTATGGCAAGAGATCAGATAGGAAACCAAGCACCAAGCTCAACAGGAAGGAAAAATAGTTGTGGACAATGCCACATCACCAGTCCTAGCAGCATCATTGCAATCAACTCAAGACAAGCTTCTGAATATACTTCTTGTATATTACAAGTGAAAAGAACGCCCTGTCTTCAGAACTTGCTATACCCCAGACAACTTTAATTCATCTAACAAACTTCTGAGTTGATTCACTGAATGAAGCTCATGCAGGATCTTAATTGCATTTGTCTCTCAAGTCTCTGCTCCATGCCTCCCCAAAGGATGCACTCTACCCTCCTTAGTCCTCAATGGCTGATCCTCAATGTTGGCTGATGATGGGCTCTTCCAAACTCCACTCCCCCTCAACATCCACTGTAAGCACCTTCCTTAAACTCCTGTTTACTCCAAACCTACCTCAAAGCTCACATCATTTATTTAGCTGACACTTCCCTGACTACTCTGACCAAACAGGAGCTCCCTGTTGCCATTCTTCTCACTTGGCGTTTACCAGGCCTTATATTACCTTCACAGAGTTTGAAAAAACTTAAGGAATATTTCCAACCAATCCCTTTTAAAATGTATACTTTATATTAAAGTTTGTTAAGCTAACAGATTCAGAATGCTTGCTGTTTGATTAAAAAAGAGAGAAACAGGAGAAGAAAGAATAAGAAAAAGCAAATAACAGACGGCAGAGGCAAGGAAAGCAGCAAGCACAGAGCCATGTCCCCCTCAACTACTGTTTTCCTCAGCCTACAGAACTGTGAGCTAAGAATTTAAACTTTCATATTACAAGAACTGAAATGGAAAGCTTAGCTAAGAGACAGGCACAGTGTTGCATGTCTGTAATCCCAGGAACTGGGAGACTGAGTCAGAAGACTGATCAAAGCTAGCAGTGTGGGGTTACATTAAAAAATAAATTAAAAACCCTGCCCCCTCCCTACCAAGAAAAGTTTTTTTAGGAAAAAAAAAAAAGTCTGAGAAATAAGTGACTAGCTCCAATTTACATACCAAGTTTTATATACACGGATGGCAATGGTGCCTCATCCACTCAGCAATTCAAAATTGATGATATGGCATTCAGGAGGCTGAGGCAGAAGGATCTCGAATGTGAGATCCTCAAGGCCAACCTCAGCCTCACCGCCAAGTTCAAGGCCACTTTGGAGTAAAGAGTGAAACCCTGTGCAAAATACAAAAGAAAGAAACGCCACCTGAATTATTATCAGTCATGACATAAGCCTTATAAGTAATAAAGTAGATGCCTGTTACATGAATGAGAATGTCACAATGTCAGCCTACTTGCAATGTTCCACACATAGACATGCACTTTTCCCAAGAAAATTAAAGCAAAAATCCAAAATAACAAATGCCGACCAAAACAAAATCATTGGGTCAGTGAGATGGCTCAGCCAATGAAGCCTCGCCACCTAAGCCTGGGTCAACCCCTAAAACCCACACAAAGGCAAGAGAGAACCAACTCCAGAACCGGCGGTCATAGTGCACACCTTTAATCCCAGCACTTGGGAGTGGCAGCCAATCTCTCTGTGAGTTCCGAGGCCAGTCTGGTCTACAGAGTGAGTTCCAGGATAGACACCAGAGCTACAGAGAAACCGTGTCTCAAAAAAACCAGAAAAGAGAGACCAAAGCTATCCTCTGACCTTCACATGTGTACTGTGGCATGCACACGGACACACACAATCATGTATAGAACAAAAGCCAATGTTCCTCCATTTCTGGTTTTCTGTTTACATCTCTAACTCCACTAAAGAGGTTCTAATACATAAGACACTTCCTTATGGTATATGACTGTAATACAGAAAGAAGCTAATGCTACTTCAAGAGAGAAGGCAAAGCTAGGTGGTGGTGGCACACCAGTATCACAGCACTCAGACGCAAAGGGAAGCAGATCTCTGAGTTTGAAGCCAACCTGAGTGGGTTCCATGACAGCCAAGAGTACACAGAAAAATCCTGTCTCAAAAATACCAAGGAAGCTGGGCGTTGGTGGCACACACCTTTAATCCCTGCCCTTGGGAGGCAGAGGCAGGTGGATCTCTGTGAGGTCAAGGCCAGACAGGTCTAAGAGCTAGTTCCAGGACAACCTCCAAAGCAAAAACAAAACAAAAACACAAATACCAAAGGAGGGGGAAGGGCAGTAAACTTCAAAATTTTCTGAAAACAAATAAAATTGGCTCATGTTTATTGACAACAATACTGTACTTACTTAAATTCCCCCCTTACAACAGACAATAGGTTCAATTATCCCCATTCCATAAAGAAACCAAGGCCCAGAAAAGTTAACTAAGCTATCAGAAGACCAATAAGTGAGGATTCAATCCCAAGCACCCTTAATTCCAGCCTCATGTTTCTATCCAGCAAACCACAATGGGGGAATAAAGAGGTGCCACACTTTACAGAGAAATTCTTTGGGGAAGCATGTACTAATACACAGAATTGTCAAAATGACTAGTACTTAAAAAGAACACTCAAGGAAAAGGATTTCCTTATGAATTTTCCCTACAGTCTTCTATGAAATAAAATGAAATAAGATATGCACAAATGCAAACTTCTAAGAGCAGTTTGAAAACTAAAGAAAGGGAAGCTAGGCTGATTAAAATAAAAATTACCTCCTAATGGTGATGGTGGTCTCACACCTTTAATCCTAGCACTCGGGAGGCAGAGGCAGGAGGATCTCTGTGTGTTCATGGCCAGCCTAGTCTACAGAGTGAGTTCCACATCGGCTCCAAAGCTGCACAGGGAAACCCTGTCTCTAAAAACAAAACAAAAAATGCCTAAGGGATTAGTAAAGCATACCTCTGGTCAGGAGAGAGGGTCTGCAAAGGCATTTCCAGAAACAGATCACAGAGTTCTAGCCTAATGGGCACACTAACCCCTTGATAGATTTGTAGCACAGCATAACTAGGTTTATCACTAGGGGAACACCCTGGGGGATTTATCTTGCCCTACAATCTTCCTTATATTCCCCTTTTTTCTATTCCCTGGCCACCATGATATGAAATGCTCTTTCAATAAGCCCTCACACTAAAACAGAATGACATCTTGGAAACTATGAGCCAAAAGAAATCTTTCCTGGCTTCTCTGAACAGATATTTGAGGCAACTAATCTGCCACTCTTCCTCTCTTTTGCAAACTACCTCTTCTCTCTTGTGATGCTCCCCACAGGCAACCTGACATGCCCATGGTTTCAAATACTATCACCTCTCCAAATGGCTTAAGTCCACTCAACTTCAGTTCCCTAAAGAGAATGAAGGCAACTCCAACAAAACACTTCTAAACCTAGATACACTTTCTCCCACATCCGAAACCTAGCTCTTTCCCAGTGAGCCTCATCTCTGAGTATAACAGTGCCTGCACTGCTTGCTCTCCAGTTGCCTGAGTCTGAAACAGTGCATTCTCCTCTCAGCTCAAGTATTACTACCATGCCATGACATCTAACACCTCCACTTTCTGGAAACTTCTGTTCATATTAACCTCTTTAAAGGCTCAACTAATCTAACAGAGACAGTTTTAAATGTTTGATTAAAATATTTATACAGTTAAAAGTTTGTATTTCCCCATTCGTGCCTGGTTTTTCTTGCTTTCTAAAAACTGAAATTTGGCTGGTTGGTTGGTTTTTATTTTTTTTTTTTGAAACAGGGTCTTACCATGTGGAACTCGATGTCCTGGAATTATGTAAATCAGGCTAGCCTTGAACTCAGAAATTCACCAGCCTCTGCCTCCCCCCTCCCAAGTGCTGGGATAAAAGGTATGAGCCACCACCCCTAGCTAAGAGCTGAAATATGAAATTACTCAATAGAATATAAACTACAATACTTGTGAAAATTATGATGCTTTTCCAAATTAGAAAAACCTGTCACTTTGAGCCTAGTTTAGGGATAGGAGAACTGTCTAAATCACACCTTTAAATCCAAAGCTCATCTATAAGATTCTTGCTTCTGCCCGGCATTGGTGGTGCATGCCTTTAATCCCAGCACTTGGGAGGCAGAGGCAGGCCGATCTCACAGTTTGAGGCCAGCCTGGTCTCCAGAGCGAGTGCCAGGATAGGCTCCAAAGCTACACAGAGAAACCCTGTTTCGGAAAAAAAAAAATTGTAGTTGCTCAAAAGTTTTTAAACTATTGTTCTATTCACATTCAGAACACAAGACTGAATCTAGGAAAATCTCACACTATCAGTTTTTAAAAGGCAGCTCCCTAGATTTCCATCTAAATCAAAATCCTTATTATAATCTCTACTCACTCAATACCACACCTTTACTGCAAGTAAACACAGCTTACACTCACCCATTTATCTACAAGATCAATGGCTTGGAGTCTAATCCCTGCCTAAGGACACAGGGTCACATCAATTCTGTCCTTGATGCATTTCCCGAAGCTAACAAGGTATCTGGCATAACAGAAATGAGAAGGCTCTAGGTGAATAATTAACTGAATCAGGAATAAGCTAGAGATGTTCCCCCAATGTCCTTCACTTTGCCCTTCTTTGCCTTCTTCAAAGAGGACATCTTGGACTCACCGAATCCTTGTGCTTTAAGTCACTCAGCCCAAATGTCCCACAAATCCAGTAACTGGGCTCCAAAGACACCTGGCGACTGCTACGGACAGCAACACTGCAATCAACGTACTTTATGACAGATGAATCAGAGAACAACTTAAGGAAAAAAAAAAATACAATCGGTCTTCATCCCTACATGTGAGGACTGCACAGAAAACACAAACTCTGACCAACTGACTCCCCCATCCCAACACTTCCTTTCAACTCAGCTGCACCATCGGAACCAACGTGGAAATACAAAACTGGCTACCACAAAAGGTTAAAACGATACCGAACTCTGCAGAGCCCTGAAGAAACCCCAGACCAAAGCCACAGTGCAAACTGTTCATTCCTGCAGCAAACAGAGAGCTGCGTGCTACTAATGCCATCAGATGTAAGTGCTGTGGATTCAGACGCACCCCCCTGGGGCTCCAGTTTCTCCTACTAGATCACATCTGGGGTAAGTTAATGTGTCCAGGGTGCGGGTTCTCTCACTGTAAAACGGGAAGTGTGCACCCGTCCTGGTGGACTAACAACATAAACATTTAAGCTGCGCATAAAATACTCCGTGTGTGGCGTCTAATAAAGGCTCAATAAATATCAGCTCTGTCATTCTGGTCAGTAATCACTACTTCCACAAAGCCGGCCCCCTCTCCAGGTTTCTATATAATCCCCAACTATTGTCCTGCGGGTTCTATCTCGGAGGGGCTCTTGATCACAGTGTACCTGTTCTAGAACCAGAATGGGCACTGCAGCTGGATCTTCATCTGTGAGATCCCTTCACCCGATCACAAACACCTTGACCCCCGGGGGGCTGCTGGTGTGTGCGTCGCGTGACTGACTCGTGTTGCGACTAAAAACGCACTTGAAGAGGGAAAACCAGAGAAGTCCCC